CACGCCGCGCCTGGGAAAGCGGAGCTGGGACCAGGCGGCTCAGCTGCCCCTGGCCGAACGTCGCCGGGCGCCGGTTCCTGCCTGGCTGCTTGCTTTCTTCTTTTTTTATCTGTTCCCCTACCCCCCCGCACAGGGGAACATCATTTCTTTCAGCCTCTCTTTCTCACCCATTTCCGCCTATTTTGATTGCATTTCGGTGTTGTTATTTTCCATTCGAAAGGGGAGATGATTTGCTTAATTAGACGGTTGCGCTCTTTCTAGGAGGATGTGTGTGTATACAAACAGGCTTGTTGTGTAGTTATGCTCAAAAGCTGCTTGAGCAGCCTCATCAGCCAAAATAAGGGTGGCTGTATTTTTTTAAATCGGGATCCCCGCAACCACAGTAATCACCCCTGAAATCTGATTTCTGGTGTTTCGAAGTGTTCTTTGTGCCCTTGTATAAATTAAAGAAATTAACATATTTATCCATTCATTTCAACAATCACTGATTAAATTTAATGGTGCTCTAATCCTGAATGTTAACATTTGTTAAATTACATATGTACAAAAGTATTTATGCATATCTAATTGCTGATTAATACTGCTAACTAGTAATGCCGTAAGCATATAGGCACATCTCATAGGTTTATGCTTATCCTAAATTGAATGTTGTTTCTTTTCAGTCAAAAAAAGAGATATGCATGTATGCTGCCGAAAACTTGACTTAAAGCATTGCCCTGACTGGGAAGAAAAAAATGTGTTTGGGTACTGTATGAGCAGAATTTACACCCTGACTTTGCAGTGGATGAACTCATGTTTTCATTCTTCAAGCTGAGTAACTGCTTTGTAGTGTTTGAGGATTTATTGAAACCATACTAGGTTTCTGAGGACTTTCTAATACAGTCTTATGGCCCTGAGAGCATAATTGTTCTCCAAGGATTTTGAAATCAAAACAGTGTAAGTGTTTTAGATTGTGTGTGGCATAATGAAAATAATTTAATGCCTTTTAGTGGCATTCCGAGTTTATTTCACTTACAAGACAGACATTGCAATATCTCTAAGCTTCCATAGTGTTGAGGAATATTGTAATGTGTCAGTAATTCGTGAACCATGTAAGACAAAAGGTCAAGAGAGCACCATTTCATTTTCTAACTGAAAGTGCCTTTAGATATAGGCACTAGAACAAATATGATCTTTACAGAGGCAAATATAATGATCACTCTGTGTGGATGAAGTTAAACAATTGTAGTTTTTTTATCTTTGGAGAGAGATTTTGAGAAAAGCAGAGGTTTTTCTTGAAGAAATATTTTAAGTCTCTACCTTTGATTTAATGAGAGCTTTGCGACATTCATGTAAGCCGAGACCAGAGTTTCTTCACTGTTCTTTGTGGTGGTTTGAATTTGTCCTTAGAAGTGGCATTTCTAAGAGGGCTGTGTACAGGCTCCTGGTCGGTTGGCTCCGGGCACTTGGAGAGTCACTCGGGCGGGACCGGGGGGCTTGGAATCGGGCGGTGTGCGGCGCTGGCAGAGCCGCCCCGGCAGTACCCAGGGACATCTGTGACCTCTCGGGACAGCTTGAATCGCTTCAGCTGTTCCTCTACAGCTGTGATCTTGGGCGAAGGAGGGAAGGGAAGGGGAGGGCGTTTTCCTCTCCCCTTGCTTTCCCAAAAAAGTAACTTACGGCACTGGAGGAGGATGAGAACAAAAGACTTTCGATCCTAGCCCCACAGAAAACGGTTGCAGGGCCCTGTGACTAGGGAGGAGAAAGGGGGTGTCTTGACTTTTTTTCAGCCCTGGGGCATCCTGGGGCTGTAAGGACAAAGCCTCCACCTGTGCGAGACCAGAAGCATTTCAGGCTGCTGCTGACCCTGCCAGCAGTACGGAGTTATGGCTCCTTGAAGAAACCCTCAGAAAACAAAATAAAAACTTAATGAAACTCTTGTTTTTAAATTTATAGGAAATGATTGGGTAAGAAGCAAAGACGCTTGTTTTGGTTCAGAGGGGCAAATTCCAGGAATGATAGTTTGGAAATTCTTGAGAGAAAGGGAGTGCACTGTAAGGCCAAGGGACCAGTGATAAGGTTTCTGCAGGAAAGCACTATCCGTCACTCCTTGTCCTCCTTGCTGTGTGCGTGTGTGCTTGTGTGGTTGTGATGGTCTTAGAGTTTTGGGTTTGCTCCTAGTACAGTATGGACTAGCAGTAAATAAAATAGAAAAAAGGTGAGGAGGGAATAAATACAAAAACTTGAAGAAGGACAGAGGAGCTCCTGGGTAAATTGAAGCTCACACTCTTTGTGGAAACAGTTGAGCGTAGCCCATGGAGGAAAGACTCGGCTCTTAGACCCATTCTCATTTGTCTAGCAAGATATTGGTAAGAGTTTTTTTCATCTGTACCATTTCATAAGAAGTATTGATTAAACACAAATATCATCAACTAGTATGAAATGGGACACCCTATAATTTGCCTCCCCTCTCAGAGATCAGTTCCGATGAATTTCTGTGTCCTTGTTTATCCAGCACTTAGTAAAGCTCTAGCCCATTAGAGGGCATTGGCTGTCCTGTATTTGTACTTTGTTCCAATTGTTGGTCTTTTACTGCTGACAGTTTAGTTACTTGTAGTGATTCCTGTGAACTCACTTATTGGCAGGATATGTGCCTGTGCTTGTCTTTGCTCCTGGGAGAGTGTTTTGGAAAAGATTACAGGAATGAGAGCTGCTGTGAAATGCAGCCCTACTTTTATCCTTGGTGTAACACTGAAGTCACTGGAGTTACCACGGGAATGGATTTGGCCCTGTGCGCATGTTTTCATCTTTTTTTTGAAGTTTAGCTATAGCGAGACGTAGTTTAGTGCAGTTCCAGGGACAATGCCAAAGTCCCTAAGTTTCTAGCAAGTGTAATAACACCCGCAGACATGCTATCATTAACAATGCTAACTTAGCCTCAAGGTAACAGAGGTGGCTTCTGCCTTTAAGACAAGAGAATAGTTTGATCTTAATTTATGAGACCTGGAAACAGCTCTTCAATTACAAATGAAATTAGTCATCGTGATTTGCATCGGAGGTATTCATCTCTGCAACAAAACTACTTAAGAGTGTATTAATGACTGTCTAAAAAGGAAGTTTTTTAGCATGCTTAGTTGTTTACAGAGTAAAATGAGTACTAATTAACATGAGAAGGTGCATAATAGCCTTTCAGATCGGTTGTATATGTTTAATAGGTCATGCATAAAATCTCCTGGCCTGCATTACCATGACAGTAAAGGGAAAATGATTCTTTCATAAAAATTTCTGCTCAGATGATAGAATTTTTGCACGATGAGTAATAATAGTCTTCATTTCCAAAGCACCTTGTAGAAATTGAATATTAAAATTGAACTAGTACACTGGCAAAAGAAATCCTATTCTGTAGGCTTGTGTCATTCTGTAGCTAGCTGTTATTATTAGATGTCTTTTTGGGTTTCAGCTGGGGAACTGCAAGGTAACTAGCTGTATGAACAATACAGTAACATGTTACAAATTTTTTTTACTATTGCTTTTAATTTTAAAAGTTCCATGCGAGTTACTGCCTCTATAAAGACATCACTACCTTATAAAGTTTCCACAGTATTAAATATATTTGAATGCGAATAAGGTATTTGGAGTGATGAAATACCAGATGTGAAGTATCAGGTTGCATGTTTATTCATCTGTTATTGCAATCATTGTACAAAAAAATGCTCTTGTATTTTTTTCTTTTTTTCTTTTTGGTCTCTCAGCAACATACACAAAATGCACTGGAGATAGGACTCCTATTGTGAAAGTTACTATTTGGGTTTCTTAGATTGTAAACAAATCTGTCTAGAAACATTCTTGCAATTATGTGATTGCTCACTGTATTACGTCATGGCACAGTGCATGCATGAAGGCAGGCTGCAAGCGTGTGCTGAGCAATCAGTCAGAAGTGAAGAAAACGAAGGTCCAAAGATACAGTGTCTGAAAAGTTATGATGTAAATTACGTAGATTATGAACAATCTGCCTATAAACATTTCTGCAATCTAGTGATGTTCTTGCAACATCAGCATGCTGTGCTTGCAGGAAGGCAGTCTGGTTTTGTGAGCTGAGCAGAAGGCACTTCTGTCATTAGAAATGAAGGGCGTTTGGCTTACTTGTTGTCAAGGATTTCTGAATCACAGAATGGTTTGGGTCGAAAGGGAACTTACAGATCATCTCGTTCCAGCCCCCTGCCATGAGCAGGGACACCTTCCATGAGACTGGGTTGCTCAAA